CCAATGCTGTATGTTGTCCATCTGTTGGCAATTTGTGTGCAGCGATGACCAGTGGAGTAAGATCAAGGCATCCCTCACAGGCTCAGCCTCAGTCGCCGCCCCGAGTCTCATTGCCTTTGCTATTGCTGCCCTTGGCCTTGCTGCCTTTTGAGGCAGTGGCCTCTCCGTCACACGCGCCGGTTCCTGATTCCATTCAAGGAAGGCCGCGCTTCGCAGCGCCTTTTTCACATGTTCGCGCCTTCAGAACAGACCTGATGACAGACAGACGTTGGCGCCTTACTCAGGTGTTTTTTCCCGCTGCCTCCCTAGGACTGCGGTTATTAAGCGTTTTCAACGCGCACCCCTACATTTCAGTATGCGGCAGTCAGCCTTGCACTGGAAGTGCCACTAGTTTACAGGGCTTCCTAGCCTTTTTCTAATCCTATTGGCACTAGTGTCATGCGCTATCCGCTGACGGGTCTTCTCAGCTCTTTTTCATTTCTCTAGAGAGCAAATGTTTGCCTCTCTAGACTGATTTTGTTTCACTGGCCTGAGTCCTACCTACTGTTTCCGTACCGCTGATGAAAGTAGTGGGCAATATGACACGCCTGCTATCGATCCAACGCATTACGCCCCTCCAGATGCGTGTTCGGGTCTCTAAACACTTCTGTGCTTGCATGCCTTCTTGCATGCGTGCTTCCTGTGGACGAGAGCATTAAGTCTAGCGACTAGCAGCAGTTGTTATAGCATTGTCAAAAGCTGGCACGTTGTCACGTGGCGAAGTGTTGTAGAGGTGCTTGAGAATTTGATGAATGAGCCTCCCTTAACAATGCTTTTGCTTTTTTATATGCGGGCAAACAAGCCCTTCTTACCTATAGATTTGCAAGCAGAGAAAGCCTCGTCGAAGTGCAACCCGTCCCTCGTACGACGGGACATCATACAACTCTCTGGACCAAGGCCAAAAGAGCACGCAGCCACAGTTTTAGAGCAATTTACACAAAATAAGCCTTCAAACAAACAACCTAAACGCTTTACTTTGAATTGGCCACTAAGCACAAATCCAGCGCAAGGGGCCCCGGCGCTCAGCTGGTTCATTGAACGATGGAACGACAGTGCCTGCCCTGTTACAGGGACGTCGCGTCTTGTTCAGCAGTTGTAAGAGCAATTTTACAAGAAGTAGGTGAAACTTCTTGCAATGTATCATAAGTGCAGTTAACCGCGGCAATGTCGTGTCGTAAACTCAAGGCCAGTGCTTAGGCAGAAGCACCCCACGCCCGAACGGATTCACGAGTCGCAGTTAGCTCCCTCACCGCCTCCTCCTGCACACACACTGCACAACATATTGTCACGTCTCTACTTGCATTCCCTCCAAACCTGCATCGTCCTTCTATTTATTTTGTCCCCAAATTCACCCTTAAATCTGCAAACATGGCGCCTCTTAAAATTGTTTCACTCGCCGCTGCCTCTGCGCTCCTGATGGCCCGCGTAGCACAAGGAGATGGACAGCAAGGCGGAGGCCTAGAGGAGGAAGCATCGCCAACCTACACAGTAGAGCTTGGTATGCTGGCAGAAAATTGCTTGATGGGGAGAGTTTCAGTCTCATGATGGTCCAAAGTAAATGTGTTGAAGGCGGTTAACTGTGCTGGATGTTCAGTGTTGTTTGGAGCCGAACTGGCCCTTTTGCGCGCTTTAGACAAAACAATCCCTCTTCAGAAACATCATCCTTGGCACGCTTGGGCTTGTTTTGTCCCTTATCGGCCGCTTTTCTACAGGTGAACCCAACGTGTGCCTTGAGGAGATCAACGCTGCTCGCGAAGGCGCTGGACTAGAACACTTCTCGATGGAAGAGGAAGGCTTAAAAACGTGGCCTAAAACTGGCTCAGAAAAAAGTGGACAACAAGCAAAGCCATGGGATCCTGTTTGCGCTGCCCTGATAAAAGTAAGTGGCATTGCTCCTTTCCTTCCATCTGTGGCCCCATATTCTCTCCCCCGTTCCGTCATGCTTATTCCTGCACGCCCTTTTATCTGCAGAAAGAAGAAGTCACAGTGCAGCAAGGCGCCGAAGAAGATGCCTTTCCAAGCGGCACATACGCCTTCATGGCCTTGGATACAGCAGAGGCGGACTGCGCTGCCGCAGTGAG